CTGCAGGGCCCCCAACCCACAGCCCCTGTCCCGGGGGGCTGTGTGGGATCTGGGAGTGCCCCTGGCTGTCACAGGGCTCCCAGCCCAGGGGAACCCGGCAAGGAAGTGTTCCTGGCTGGTTCAGAGGGTGGAGATGCAGAGCTGGGGTTATCTGGAGCCTTCTCAAGAGCCACCAGCCTCAGGAACATCATGGAGAGCATTGGGGTATCAACCAGAAAACAGCTTGGAGAACGTTCAGGAGACAGGATGGAAATAGAAGKGTTTGTACCTAAATCTGCTCTGCTSCTGCTCCTCAGAGYTCCATCCCTCAAAGAGGCTGTGGGCAGGTGGGRTCRGGCTCTTTCTCCAGGCAGAACGAGAGGRCACAGCCTTGAGCTGCACCAGGGGAAATGTGGGGTGGAGATCAGRAAAAAGTTCTTTACAGAAAGAGYGATAAAGCACTGGAATGGTCTGCCCAGGGAGGGGTGSAGTCACCATCCCTGGATGTGTTCAAAGAGAGATTGGATGTGGCGCTGGGTGCYGTGGGTGAGTTGAGGTGTCAGGGCAGGGATCCTGAGATCTCTCCCAACCCTGGTGGGTCTGTGATTGATTCTATGATTGATTCTGTGACTTTGTGATTCTGTAATTGRTTCTGTGATTGACTCTGTGAYTCTGTRATTGRTTCTGTGATTGATCCTGTGACTCTGTGATTCTTTGATTGACTCTGTGACTCTGTGATCCCACGTGGAGTGGCCACAAAGGGCCCAGGACACGTCCACCCCATGGGGACATCCTCGTGGGCTCCTGGCCGTGCTCTCAGGGCCCCTCTCCTGTCTTTCAGGTGGGACCTCAGYGGAGAACAACACCTCGAGCAGCACAGGTACCCTCCCCTGTGTGTGTCCCCAGGGTCCCCTCTGTCCCCACCCATGTCACACCACCCACAAAGGCCACTCCCAAGGCTCATCTCCAACCCTGAATTTCCCTCTCCCTCTGCAAAGCTGAGTCTGTTTTGTCTTTCCTGAGCACCCACAGCTTTTCCCTCTGTTGCACAAAAAAGTCGTGCCTTGGGACCAGCACTGGCCTTGTGCCATTGTCCTCATGCCATTGTCCTGGTGCCATCATCCTTGTGACACAGCCTTGGTGCCATTGTCCTGGTGCCATTGTCCTTGTGCTGTTGTCCTTGAGTCATTCTCAGCCCTGGGGTTTGAGTGTGACCTCTGGAATCCAAACAGGCTGTCAAATCACCATTCTGGGACCAAAACANATGAGAGAAACCAGCTGGGATTCCGCAGGCTGTGATTTTGGAGCTGGGATTAACAAAATGTGCACAGAGAGCAGCACAAGAATTTTGGAGTGAGGCCATTCCCACAGAAAATTTGAGTTTCCATTAAAAGCAGGCTTCCACYAAAAGCCTCGGATTTYACRGAATCACAGAATTTCCTGAGTGGGAATGGACCCCGAGGATCACCCAGTCCAACCCCCACGACACCCCRACAATCCCACCCTGGGCATCCCTGGGAGYGTTTCCCAAACCCTCCTKGAGCCTCGGGGCCAGGACCATTCCCCAGGGCAGCCTGGGGCGAGGAGGATTCACCAAAACCCAGGAGGATTCTCAAAAAGCAGCACGAAAACGGGAAGCTCTTTGTTTGGGGGGCTGTCCTGGGGTGGCCACAGCGGTGCCCTTGTCCCCCGCAGGTGGCAGCTGTCCCCCGGTGCACCAGCAGCCGCGCTAYATGGCTGTCAGGAAGAACATGCCCGTGTCGTTCATCTGCCACTCGCCGGAGGCGGGGGACATGCAGTGGTACCGCACAGCCGAGGACAGCGAGGAGCTCTGCGGGCTGGAGCGCAGCACGGCCGCCTACAGCATCACCCGCAGCAACAGCTCCGTCAGCCTCACCCTGGCCAGGGCCACCTATCGCGACAGCGGCATCTACGTGTGCGACAGGAAGGGGCTGCGGAGCAAGGACAGGCTGCACTCRTGCGGCACCGAGCTGCGGGTCCTGGGTGAGGCCCCTCCCGTCCCCCCGCACCCCGGGACATTCCCTTTCTGCTCCTCTCACCCTGTCCCCTACAAACATCCCTCTGCATCCTCCTGACCCGGCCATAAGAACCCTAAATGGGGCTCCCACACCGCCCCTGTGCTGGTGGGACCCTCTCACACCCACCACGGCACCGCAGAGGTTCAGCTCCTGCAAAAACACCCCCCTGGAATAAATAAATAAATAAATAAATAAATAAATAAATACTTATATATATATACTTATATATATATTTATATATATATATATATATACTTATATATATAAACACAGACATACATATATTTATATATATATCACATACATATATATATAAATATATATAAAAAGGTATATAGGTACTTAATCTATAAATTC